GGAAGTATTTCCTTGGGGCAGCACATAAGCTATGGTCCAGAGGAGGCCCGAGCCTCCGTCTTAAGCTGGAAGCAGGACTTGGTAATGCGTAAGAGTCTCCTACATGGTTCTGGTGTTAAAAGTGTGAAGGGGTCACAGAGAGCAGCTGAGGCTTGGCACCATGAGAGGTCAGGAAAGTCCGTTGCTGAAGGTACAGCCTCAGCAGTGAAGACCCCAGGACTGAAGGGGTCATAGAGAGAATCTGAGACTTTGCACCCTGAGAGGTCAGAAGAGGCCATTGGTGAAGGTGTAGCCTCAGTCACAGTGGAGACCCAGCTTTTTGGAGAGGCCAGGACCATGGGACAACTGCCAAGGGCAGCAGCAGGTGTGGAATAGAGCCAGCCTGGGTCTTCAAGATGAGCTGTGTCTGCTGTGGATGGCAGAGTCAGAGAAGTGGAGCTGCCAGAACCCTTTGGAGTCCAGAAGATGGTGAGTGAATCCCAGATGTCCAGTCTTCAGCTACTTGGCTGGACTTAAGTTTTGCTTAGGTGTGTCCAAATCTTTCCTTTCGAAATAAGACAGTGTTTCTTTTGAATTTTATAGGAGCCCATGGTTAAGAGACTTTTAAAAGAGACTATGGACTTTTAAGTGTTTGGATTTTTCTAAGGATTATGGGACATGTAAGGTTATACTGTTATGTTGTGATATTGTTAACATCATATATTGAGGACAAGAAATGGAAAGGTTGTTATGGCTTACTGGTGATGTGTTTGTGTGTCAAGTTGACAAGGAGTCAATTGTGCTGGATAGCTTTATTGTCAACTTGACACACCTGGGTAGAGGGAGCCACAGTTGGTGAATTGCCTCTATTGGAGTGGCCCGTGGCCATGTCTGTGGGGCATCTTGATTACTGAGTGATGTAGGAGGGCCCAACTCACTGTGGGTGTGCCACCTGAGGGCAGTTTGTTCTGTATTGTATAAGAAAGCAAATTGAGCAAGGACCAAGGGAGCAAGCCAGTAAGCAATATTGTTCCATGGCCTGTGCTCCAGCTCCTGCCTCCAAGTTCCTGCCGGGAGTTCCTACCTTGGGCTCCCTGATGAATTGTGACCCAGGAGTTGTAAACCAAATACACCCTTTTCTCCCCAAGGTGGTATAGGTCAAAGTGTTTTGTCACAGCAATGGAGAAACAAATTAGGACAGAAATCAAGAAGGAAAGAAAGAAGAGAGGACACTTCCAAACTCATTCTGATGCCAGCATTAGCCGAATACCAAAGCCAGACAGGTATAAAACAAAAACAGAAAGCTATAAGCCAATATTCATGATGAACAAAAATTTTTTAAATCTTCAAAAATGCTAACAAACTAAATGCAAAAGCACATCAAAAAGATGATTCACTGTAATCAAGTATGATGCATCTCAAGAATGTAAGTCAATCAGGGTGATGCGCCATATCAGCAGAGCAAAGGATAAAAATCACATGGTCATCTCAGTAGAAACAGAAAAAAAATTGCTAGAATTCATCATCAGTTCATTATGCACAATCTGAACAAAGTAGGAATAGAATGTCTCCGCATAATAAAGGCCGTGTGTGTGTGTGTGTGTGTGTGTGTGTGTGTGTGTGTGTGTAATTAGTGCAAAGCTAACACCATGCTAAAAAGAGAAAGTTAGAGACTGTCTGAGATCCTCTGGAAGGCAAGGGTGATATTTTTACTACTTTCATTCAACAGGATACTTCAGTCTTAGCCAGAAAAATCCAGCAAGAGGAAGAAATACAGGATATCCAAATTGCAAAGGAGGAAGTCAAACTGTCCTGCAGATGAAATGATCTTATATACAGTATATGCTCCAAGACCAACTAAAAATAGAAGTAGGAAACAAATTCAACAAAATTACAGGATGTAAAATTAATGTACAGAAATAAGTGTTATTGCTATAAGCTAATAGTGAACCTGAAATAAAAGTCAAAACAATGTCATTTATAATAACTATAAAAATACCAGGA